GGTTATGCATATAAAGCATTTGTCATAATACCTGGGACTTGATAAATGTTCAACAGGGCATCAAAGAGTTCAGCACATGGATGGTGATTAATACATTTTTAAAATGTTATATGTAATGCTATAGAGCTGTGGAAGACTAATTATATATTTTTTTTGCTTTTTAACATTTAAAAATTAATTTATTTTAATTGACAAAACTTGTGTCTATTTATCGCATACATATTCTTTTTAATTATGTATACATTGTGGAATAGCTAAATCAAGCAAATTAACATATGCACTACCTCACAGAATTATCATTTTTTGTAGTAAGAACAGTTAAAACCTACTGTCTTAGCAACTTCAATACAATATATTGTTAAGTCAAAAAAAAGATAACTATTATTTAAAGATTCTATTTATCTATCTACTTACAAAGAAAAGAATAGAAGGATAATCACGGAAATGTAAATAGTGATTATCTCCAGATAGGATTTTAAGCAATCTTTTCATTTCTATATTATGTGTTTCTTAGATAACTCAAATGCCTTCTAGTCTTCTAGAGTCACTCGTTTATGTAATAAACAAATGTCTTGAGTTTACAACCTAGGTTACAGCAGGATCTATTTTCTTTACTCAGCCTTCCTTTTCTAAGGTAATCTTATGAGCCTGTTCAGAAATCAGTCCAAGCTAGAAACAGTTCTCCCAGTCCCTAGATTCAACTTTGGCAACTGCTTCTGCTTTCAGCACCTCTGCCCCATATGTGGCTCTCATCTCTCCACTTTCATGCCCCAAACTACTACAAATATAAGGCTAGTATGTGGTAAGCAACTTAGACTAAAGTACTGGGAAAAACGTAGACATAGTTCCACACAGCACCAAATAGGAAATCATTTAAAGTTGATTAAAGGGAACCTTTCACTGACTGTTTTGCACACTAGGCCTCAGCCTATCACCATGTTACCAAGTTCTATTCCTCAAGCCAAGACTATTCCCGTCCACTTAACCCTTCTTTTCCAGTTCCTGGGTTCTCAGTCACTTTTCCCAGACTGCTCCCGGGGTGGGGTGGGGGGGAGCCAAGTTTTTTTTTTTGTATGCAAACAATTTTATGCTTAGCCCCCATCCCAGACTAGACTCTAGACTCAGAACTTTCCTCAACAAAAAATTACTTTTATTCTTGATCTGCTAAACCTTTAGCTAAGCAAAGAGACAGCATAAGCAAAGAGATGGCTTTGCTGTCAATTGGAAATTTGTTGATGATATCTGAAAAGGAATACAATTCAAATTCTTGAATGTATTCCTTTCCAGTTAGAGTAAACTCCAGATATAATTTTTTGTTTGCTTGTCATAGATATTTTCTACAATAAGCATGTATTATTTTTGTTGTTTATTATTTTTATTTTAGATTCAGGAGGTACACATGCATATTCATTACATGGACATACTGTGTAGTGGTGGGGAATGGGTCTCATGTGGCCCATTCCTCAGAGAGTGAACATTATGCCCTGTAGGTATTTTCTAAATCCTTATCCTTATTGGTGTCCAGAGTATCTAATATTTCCATCTTTGTGACCATTTAGTGCCCACATATGAGTGTGAAGATGTGGTGTTTGGTTTTGTTTCTGAGTCAGTTTACTTAGGATGATGATCTTCAGCTCCATCCATGTTGCTTCAAAGGAGAACATGCATTATTTAATTAAACAAAATAAAGCAAATATTATTTCAGAAAGTAAGTGTTGTTTATTGATGAATAACTCCAAAGTATTTCAAGTCTTTTTTTAAGAATACACACCATTTGTCAGCTCTGTTCCAGTCTGGCTCCTTGCCTTAAGCTCCCTTCCTCACAGATCTCCCTTTTCCCTCCCACCTACCCTCCCTCTCTGCCTTCCTTCTTGTTTGCATCTAACTGGGGTTTTTTAAAGCCTGTGAATTTAAAAGGGAGGAAAAAAAATTGCTCTGAGATATAGGGAGAGTCCCACAAATTTAAACTGTTTGCTATAGATGAAAATTGGACAAATACCCTTCTTCATTGTATTTATTTAGTTAAAATCAACTTGGAGTTAGAATTCAGATTCCTAGATTTTATTTAGCATCTTCAGAAAAAGGGATCTTATGTATTATAGTCATTAGAGTTTAAATGCATAAGCATGTCCATACTTTTAGATCTATGAGGTATGGCTTTATATGTTATATTAATTCAAAACATTTTGGTAGAGCGGACAATGATTGTAAATTTTGAACTTTTAGAAATAGAATCTGGCAGGCCTTAGCTTATAAAATTCACTACTTAGACTAGATCTTTAATAAAATATTATGTTAAGATTAAAATTAACTTTCTGATGTTTTCTGATAATATCCAGAAAGAAAGAAGACCTCAAATTCAAATAACACGTACACGTTTATGAACTATACACAAACTTAGAATAGTTTAGATTTTTGGCTTCTAAACTGAATAACACTGCCACCGTGTGGCAAAGTTTGACTACTGAAGCTTTTGTCTAAATATTCTAAAAACAATTTTTTCCCTGATTGTGTAGCAATTATGATGCATTTTTGAATGACTGATAGAGGCAGTCTCATTCTGGGTTTCCAAGATGGGACAAATTGTTCTAATAAATAACGTTAAGCAAAAAAAAAAAAAAAAATACATTTGTGTGTGTGCTCCCTTAAAAATGTTTGAACTCAATATTCTTTAAAAAGAGCAAAAAACACCTAAATTGTCTTCAACTGATGTAAAGATTCATAAGCCAAAATGCAAAATAAACCTATTAACCAGTTCGGGAGCACTAAACTGTTTTTTTCTAATTTTACTCCTTAATGACATCAATAAGAAACACTAACACTAACCAGAAACACTAATACTTGCCTCCTTCTCTAATAAAGAAAAAACAAACTTTGTACATCCCCATAACAAATTATGCAGAATGTTTGAGTTTGTAAGGAAAAAATTATTTTACTTCTTTCCTGGCATTTCAGAAAAAAAACGGGGGGTTTTCTTATTTTGTCTGGACTTTCAGCTATGTGACATAAATCAAGTTACTTAACCTCTCTGAATCACAGCTTCTTTACCTGAAAAATGGGGATGATACTATCACTTACCTCATTGGATTGTTGTGAAGAGTGAGCTAATAAAAGTAAAGAGTTTCTTAGAACAATGTCTGACACTTCAGAAAGCATTTATAAAATTTTAGCTCTCATTTTTAACACAAGGTGAATGAAGAGCAGTAATGAATCTAAGTCTAATTTGTATTAGGCTTTGTATAATTCTGTGATGTGATTTGATTTGCTTGTCATGCTAAGAAGATGGGCTCTCTAGGTATAATTTATAGTAAGCATAGGCCTAATGGTGATTGAACTCTTTAATTTAATTTGAATTCTTTCATCTTTGGGATAGACTCCATTCTGCCACTTACTACACTTGGGAAACTAAACCTTTCTAAATTTCTTGATAAAATTAGGAACAAAACTGTGCATACATCACAGGGTTGCTTTGATGATTAAATGAGATACTGCATATGTAAAGCCCTTAGCAAAATATGAGACTTAGAGCAGTCTCCACCAAAGTTCTCCAGTATGTTTAAAAATGAAGACACTCTATCTCAAACAATATTAGCACCAGTTACATAATATACATTCTGGAGGAAATGAGACAATAGGTAAAATGATGGGAGAGGAATTCTGTGGAGGGGTGGGGCAAAAGGAAAACACACCTGGCCTCACAGATGTGGGCATGAATAATGAGTAGAATGTGTATAAAAGGTAGAACAGAATAATGGTACAAAGTCTGAGAGTTGAATAAATTTGGATTTGAACTCAGGCTTTCCAGCAACTCTTATGAGGTCTTGGACAGGTTATCAAATCTTTTGAGTCAGTTTCCTCAGAATTGGGGATAATAAGGTTGCTATGGGATTGAATAAGAAGATGTAAAGTGCTTCCCATTGAGCCTAGGTAATAAAATAATTTAATAATAGCTAGAACTGTTATTTTTACAGAAATATTTTCTGCATTCGGGACTTGAGGTACTTCATTGGGACAACCCTCTTAAGCATTCTAGTTTCTAGCTTAAGTAAAAACCAGGACAGAAATAGGAAGTGCATTATTTGAGAACTGGCATGTAGGGAAAGGTATAAGAGTTGGGGCAAGTGTCTTTTTGGTTAAAACAGCAGACACACTTAGAGGAAGTGCCAAGCATAAGTTCTGCGACTCCTTCAAGCCTCTTGCTTCACCTTCATAAGCACTCAAACGGAAATAAAGGGGTCTAACAGGCCCTGCCTTGCTCCTCCCTCACCACACGTGGGATCACATAGGTACATTAATACGGGCATTGTGACTGGCAGTATACGCAGTAACCATGCAAGGTGGGTAGGTGGAAATACTCCTCCAGAGTCATTTTCTTCTTCCCCTTACATCTGGCCTGTTGGCAGGGAAAAGCCAGATGACAACCTGAAACCCAGCCAAACTTGCAGCTGTGATTGCTGGTAAAATCAACTCCAGCAAATCGGAGGCAAATAACCATCCTGAGGAAGCCGTCTCTTTTTTCCAATTCCCATCTTGATAGAAGGGTATCTCCAAGTAAGAAACAAGTTGAGAAAAACAACAGCTGGCAGCCTCCTATCACAGCACTGTATTGAAGTGATACTGTTCCATCAAGACACTTAGTCATTAATCAACCAGTCATCTGCCAACCCATCATCTGCCAACCAAGCCTCAACCAATTAATCCTCAGCCAACTAGGGAGAAATCAAGTGATCATGAACGAATCAGGTGTGAACCAAACAAGCATGAGCCAGCCAAGCACAAGCATACTTGGTATGAGTCAACTGGACATGAACCAACCAAGTATAAGCCTATATGACATGAACCAACTGGGCTTGAAACAACCAGGCATGAGCCAACATGGCAAGAGGCAACCAGGCATAAACCAACTTGGCACGAAACAATCAGGCAGGCAACAACCATCTGTTAGCCAATCAAGCACATGGCAACCTGGTAGGAGCCAATCAAGTGGAAGCCAACTAGGTATGAGGCCACTAGGCAACAGCCAATCAGATACAAGTCAAGCAGACATGCAGCAAATAGGCACGAGACAATCAGGAACAAGCCAAACAGGCATGAACCAACCAAGCACAAGTCAACCATGCACATGGCAACCAGGCCTGAGACAACTAGGCTCAAGACAATCAGGCATGTGGCAACCAGATAGGAACCAACTAGTCTCGAGTCAAGATGGCACGAGGCAACCAGGCACAAGCCAATCAAGTATGAGCCAAGCAGGCATAAGCCAACTATGCAGGTGTCAGCCAGGCATGTGGCAACCAGGCCCAAATCGTCCAGGCCTGAGCCAACCAGGCCTAAGTCAACTAAGCAGGAGCCAACCAGACCTGAGCCAATCAGGGTCGAGTCAACCAGGCAGTAGCCAATCAAATGTCATCCAACCATACAGAAGTCTATCAGGCACGAGGCAACCAAGTATGAATTCTTTCCGAATAAGACCTGCAGAAGCTGGAGATTGCTCCGAAATTTTGCACCTGATTAAAGTAAGCCCATCTCTCCTTATTACATGGCACTTCATGGCATTAGTTTGGGGCTGAAACAGAGTAAAACCTAGTCTGGGTTTGAATCCTGACTCTGCTAATTATGACCCGTGTACATAACCTTTTGGACATTTACTTGAAATGTACCCCACATCTTTATAATAAAAATAAAAAAAAATAAAAAATCTTCATTTTCCACATCTAAAATTAAGATTATAGTAATATCTATCTCAAAAGGTTGTTGTAATGATTCAATAACATAAAATGATTACACATAAATTGTTTGGCATATAGTAGGGGGTTCAAAAAGTCATGGGTGAACCAATTCATGGAGATTTTAGGGACTAAATATGTTGTCTCTTCTGGGGAAATTTTGACTTCAAAAGAGGATTTTAGAGAAAAGAAATGCTTACTTTAAACCAATGACCAATCAATGATATAGTTTCAGGTATTAATGGAGAAGATTTGGTGTAGGGAGTCTTACTGCTTTTAAGACCACACCTACTTGCAGAAATTGATGATTCATTGCCTAGAAAATATTCATGTACAACAAATTTTCCATAGAACTCTTTGACCCCTGAAGCCCATCCACAGACAGCCCTCAGGAGTTCAATGAGTTGTGGTTTAAAATTTCTCATTTGAATGTTTAATAGCTCCCCTGGAACTCACTATAGTTCAGTAAAAGAAGCAAACAATCTAATCGCCATGGTTACCGTGCTGAAAAGTTCTATAGCACTGAGGGCAATCATTTATGTAATACACAATCTAACCAATTCCATAAAAAGATCCGTATAAAAGCAGTAACCCAGATTCTTTATGGAGTAAATATGTGGCTGGAACAAAGTACAGATTATGCTTATGGAAACTTTATAAAAGTTTTGTATGAAAATGTTTCCATCTCCTCACTAATATAACTAACTCTTATCTAAATCAGGCCAAGCTTGTGTTCCCTTTGGAGAATGTGTTTCAATGGCCAAAATAAAATACTTTTAGTTTTCTAGTGAAATACATCTGTTGAAGTGGTGCTAGGTCTGGTTACAGATTTGGGTTGTCTATCCTTCCATGACTTCCATTCTATTCTATTTCTACAAGTTCTCATATTATTTCTCCAAGTAGCATTAATCTGCATGATTAGATTATCAATCAAAATACTATGACCAATAGGTTAGTTATTCCAGATCCACATTTTTCCAGGTGGTAGAAAGTAGTAATAAATAATTTTTTGTAGCTCCAGTGCCTGGTACCTTATTGGCAACTGATAAATTTATGATTAAATGATAATGAATCTACCTGGACAAACATAGTTTTCTTACCTTTTCATACAATGCCTATTGCCATCATTAAAGGAATAATACTTCACTAGACTCCATTTCAATACCTGGTATTTGTGGAGTTCTTGACCACATTTACTTTTTAATTTGCCACATGTACCTGAAAGTTCACCAGAAGTTTTTTGGAAGTAATTTTAAAGTATTCATTGTAGAAAAATAATACTTACTCTGCCTCACAGAGTATGTATATGTGTAGTGATTAATTAGTTTTGAGTTTTATGGTCTTCTCAATAATATATGTTCATTTGTCCTAATATGTGTTCATTGCTAAGTTTGAAAATTATTCATTAGAGTTTGCCATCATAGTAATTCCTTAGCTGAATATATTTCAGGTTTTATTTACCTTCCTACCACTGAAATTCTTCCAATTATTCTTTGTATGCAATTTTTATACTACTCTTAATCACCACATGATAGCATTAATTGGGGATCTAGTTATTTCACAGTTAGGCAGTCAGCCATCATAGTAATTCCTTAGCTGAATATATTTCAGGTTTTATTTACCTTCCTACCACTGAAATTCTTCTAATTATTCTTTGTATGCAATTTTTATACTACTCTTAATCACCACATGATAGCATTAAGTGGGGATCTAGTTATTTCACAGTTAGGCAGTCATAATATCTTCTTACCAACTTTCCATCTAAAGCTTTTTATTGTGGTGATTCTCAAAGTGTGGTTTGGGACTATTGGAGATTCTTAGATGAGTGCTCCTAGTATTAAATATTTAACTTTTGTTCATGTACAAACATTGAATGCATGTGAGGGGAAGGCCATATACTAAGTACTATAAAGAATATAAGGATTATATTATCTTCTCTTAAGGAACTTACACTGTCTTAGGGGAGATATAGACATAAATAATTAGTACCCTCCCTGCTCAATCCATTCTCTATACAGCAGCCAAAATGCTTAAAACTTCATTTGGCTTCTGGATGCATTGAGAATAAAATCCAAACTTCTTATCAAGGCTTATCATAATGTGACCCTTGCTGTCTTCCTTATATATTTAAAAAACTTTTTTCCATATGCAATTCTAGTCGAAATTTCCAAATTTTTACATGAAATAATAAAAAAATAAATTAAAAAAAGAGTAATGAGGGGAGACAATACCTACCAGATACTATAAAGCTGTAAGTAATCAAAAATACCATGGTGACCAGTACAGAGATAGATCAATGGGACAGAATGGAGAGTACAGAAATTCTCTTAAGCATGCAGTCAGTTGGCCCTCTGTATCCATGGGTTCTGCATCCGTGCATTCAACCAACCACGGATCAAAAATATTTTTTAAAATTGTGTCTGTACTGAACATGTACAGACTTTTTTCTTGTAATTAGTCCCTAAACAATACAGTATAACAGCTATTTACATAGCATTTACATTGTATTAGGTATTATAAGTAGCCTACAGATGATTTAAAGTATATGGGAGGATGTGCATAGGATATATGCAAATACTATACCATGTAACATCAGGGACTTGAACAACTTCAGATTTTGGTATCTGAGGGGAAATGAGGGTCCCGGAACTAATACCCCACAGATACCAAGGAATGACTGTATATGAGAATATAATATATTTTAAAAGGGGAATTTAGAGTCAGTGAATACGAGATAGGTTATTCAATAAATGTTGTTGGCACAATGAGGGGGAGATAAAGGTGAACTTCTACTCCAAAAAATCCAAACAAATCAATTATCAATATTAAGAACTTAAAAGGAAAACAAGCATGAATTAACATTTACATAACCTTTCCAAGCAAGAGATATAAAACACGAAGGAAAGAATTAATTTGAACACATAAAAAATTGACATAGTAAAAGCCACATTTTAAAAAGTCTACAGTTTTAACTGGCAAAAACATCTCACAGGCAAACTATGACAAACTTTTCTGTAAAGTCCATGAGCTGTATAATACATAAACTTTATGACATCTACCTTAATGTTCACAAACCCTTTTTTTGCTTTACTTCTCAGTTTGTGGTTGTATTTAAGGCTAGTTACCTGGACAATTGACCTTCATATGAATGAGATATCAACATAGTCAATCTCTCTATCTAACACACACACACACACACACACACACACACACACACACACACACACACACACACGCTTATATAATTTTGCTGTATTGCTGTTCTAGATTTCAAGTTTCTAGATGACTGGGATTAAGTCTGACTCACTTTTAACACTGGCCAGGAGATCTTATATCAATAAGTGTCCAATAAAAATTTCATGACTATTATATTAAGAATTCATTACCAAATGATAAACTGAAGTTTTTCTCTACTTTGACAGGAATTGGCTGCCTGTGAAAACAGGCTAGATGCAGTGAAGTTAACAGCAATTGGTAAGGTGTTTTGTGGCATTTTTGGAGCAAGAAAAAGAAACACACAGTATTAATTGTACTTATATATGTGGAAGCTGCTGTTCTCGGTACATAAAGATGATGCCATTAATAGCATTTACATGCATAGGACATACATTTGATAGCTTTGTTAGTGCTCCACTACTTTATATTTCCCCATTTTTTAGAATGAAATTGACATTTAACAGCTCTTACACCTTCACAGCTGAAATAGGCTTCAACTGGTTTTCGGAATGTAGAATGAGAAGTGTTATTGGTCAAAAAAGTATAATTTAACACCCAGTATGTTGGTAGTCGCTTGATAGGGTGAAATGAATAAAAGCAAAATGATTTAAAATATTTTCAAAGTATTTACTACATTTTGATAGCCAGCAATATTAATGGGATAAACCAGTGATTTATGATGGAATAAAACTTTTCAGGCAGTAAATATGAAGGCTAAGAGAAAAGATGATTAAAATATATAAAATTTCAAATGACAAAGACTAACTAAAGTGTTATTTACTAAAAATTAGAAGAGTATGATGAAGAGCAACTCTTTGAAGGTGAATACTTCAGAATGCATGTAATACACTGAAAACATTCTACCAAGAAGATAAATGCATTCACTATAATACTGGGAGACAGACTCAGAAGGAAGTTAGGGGATGTTTTGTGGGGTCTTTTTTGCCATGCCCTAACAAACTTAGTGCTTTGGTCAGAAGTAGAACCCTGAGCTTCACTGATCATGGATCAACCACCTGTGAGCATGCTTACACTTGATAACTAACACCATCAGAATGTTAACTAAATAGAAATTTTGTTGATCTACAAGAAGCAGTAAAAAATATAAAGTTGAAAATAATGAACACTCTATGAAAGCAGTACTCAAACTAAAAACTAAAGCAGTACTACAGGTTGAGCATTTCTAATAAAAAAATCTGAAATGCTTCAAAATCTGAAAGTTTTTTTTGTCTGTGTTTGTATGTATATGTGTGCACATGTGCGCATGCACTAACATGACACTCAAAGGAAATGCTCACTGGAGCATTACAGATTTCAGATTAGGGATGCTCAGCCAGTAAATATATAATGCACATATTCAAAAATTACAAAATTCAAAACACTTCTGGTCCCAAACATTTTGAATAAGGGATACTCAAGCTGTACTATTTTGAGTTAATGCCCCTACATTATTACAATGTAGTTAGAAAAATACTACTCAGGGTAATGTGTAACAATTAATTTTAAACAACACATCGGCTGGGTGCAGCAGATCATGCCTGTAATCCCAGCACTTTGGGAGGCCAAGGTGGGAGAATCACTTGAGGCCAGGAGTTTGAGACCAGTCTGGGAAACACAACGAGACCTTGTCTCTACAAAAGAAGCAAACCAATCAAAAACACAAAATACTTTGCTATACTCCAGCTTTCTGCCTTAGGACTTCAGTATATCTTTGGATTGCAGTAATTTCATAATATCCTCAGTTCTGTTTCTAGCTTTAAAAGTCCTTGTGTACTTACGTAAAGGCAGGTAAAACACTCAATATTTTCTTTACTCTTACCTATTACTGTAAACTTAAAAAAATTTATAACATATAATTCAGTAGCATTAAACACATCAATTTTTGTGAAACTATTACCACTATCTATCTCCAGAACTTTTCATCACTCCAAACTGAAACTCTGTAACCACTAAACATAATTCCCCATTGCTGAACTCCCTTACCCCAGCCTCCGGTAACTACTATTCTATTTTCTGTCTCAACAAATTTGCCTATTCTACCTTATATGACTGGAAACATATAATATCTGTCCTTGTGTTTCTGGCTTATTTCACATAGTATAATGTTTTCAAGGTTCATCCAAGTTGTGACCTATATATGAATTTCATTCATTTTTAATGCTAAATAATATTCCATTGTATGTACATAAACACATTTTGCTTATCCATTCATCCATTGATGTAAGTCTGAATTGTTTCCACATTTTGGTTATTGTGAATAATGCATCTATGAAACATTGGTGTACAAGTATATGTATGAGTTCATGCTTTCTTGGGCACCTTTTCATGTGCCTATTGGCCCTCTGTATATTTTGAGAACTGTTCATTTATGCCCATTTTTGAATTGGGATGTTTAGTTTTTTGTTGAGTTGTAGGAGTTCTTTATATAATATATTCTATTAATCTCTTATCAGATATGATTTTCAAATATTTTCTCTCATTCTGCAGGTTATCTTTTTACTCTCTTGATAGTGTCCTTTCAAACACAAAAGTTTTCAATTTTGATTAAGTCCAATTTATCTATTTTTGTGGTTGTTATTTTCTGTGATTTTGGTGTCATATCCAAGAAATCATTGCCAAATCTAATGTCTTAAAGATTTTCCATGTTTTCTTCAAGGAGTTTTATAAAACTCCTTTTTAGCACTTATGTTCAGGTCTTTGATCTATTTTGAGTTAAATTTTGTATACAGTGTGAAGTAAGTGTCTGACTTCACTATTTTGCATATGAATATTTCATTTTCCCAGCACCATTTGTTGAAAAGAGAATCCTTTTCTCATCATTGGTATTCATACCCTTGTCAGAAATCAATTGATCAGACATGTGAATGTTTATATTTGAGCTATTTGGTTCCATTGGGCTATGTGTCTGTCCTGTTGTCACTACTGTACTGCTTTAATTACTGTAGCCTTGTAATAAGTTTCAAAGTCAGTAAGTGTGAGACCAACTTTATTCTTTTTTCATGATTGTTTTGGCTATTTGGGTTCCCTTGGAATGCGATATGAACTTGAGAATCAGCTTTTCTATTTCTGTGAAAAAGGCTGTTGGAATTTTAATACAGATCACATTAAATATGAAAGTCATTTTGGGTGGTACTGCATTGACATCATAAAAATGTCTTCCTCGTTTTTTTTTTTTCTTTTTGAGTTGGAGTCTCACTCTGTCACCCAGACTGGAGTGCAGTGGCTGCTCTGGGCCACTGCAGCCTCGACCCACTGGGCTCCGGCGATCCTTCTGCCTCAGCCTTCCAAGTAGCTGGAAATACAGGCATGCGCTACCACACCTGGCTAATTTTTTATTTATTGTAGAGACAAGGTCTTGCCAAGTTGCCCAGGCGGGTCTCAAACCCACGGGTTCAGCCAATCCACTTACCTCGGCCTCCCAAAGTGCTGGGATTACAGGCTGAGCCACCGAGCCTGGCTAAAATGTCTTCCTATCTATGAACATGGAATATCTTTAAATTTATTTAGGTCTTTTTTCAGCAATGTTTTGTAGTTTTCAGTATATAAGCCTTTCACCTCCTTGATTAGATGTATTCCTAGGTATTTAATTCTTTTAGGGACTATTATAAATGAAACTACTTTCTTAGTTTGCTTTTCTGGTCTGTTCTTTGCTGTTTTATAGAAACGCAAGTTATCTTTGATTGTTGATCTTGTATTCTGCAACCTTGCTGATTATTAGTTGATTAGATCTATTAGCTTTTGCTTGGATGCTTTGGGATGTTCTCTTTGTAGGATCATGTGATCTATAGGTAGTTTTACTTTTCCTTTCTAATATGGATGCCTTTTCTTTCTTTTTCTTTCCTAATAGTTCTGGCCATAACTTCCAGTACAATGTTGAATAGTAGTGGTGAAAGTGGGCATCTTTGTCTTGTACTGGATCTTTGGGGAAATATTTTCAGTCATTCACCATGGAGCCTGATGTGGATTTTTCATAAGTATATTGTACCATGTGGAGGAATTTCCCTCTATTCCCAATGTTAGGAGAGTTTTTATCATGGAAGAGTGTTGCATTTTTGTAAGATGGCTTTTCAGCATCCATCGAGATGATGATGTGTGTTTTTTCACTTTTGTTCCATTAATAGGATGTATTACATTTATTTTCTTATGTTGGCCTGCCCTTATATTCCTGGGATAGAGCAAACTTGGTCATGGTGAATAATCCTTTTAATATGCCATTAGGTTCCACTTGATAATATGTTGTTGAGAATTTCTATATTATTAAGGAATATTAGGCTATGATCGTCTTCTAATGTCTTTAACTGCCTTTGGTAATGCTGGCCTCACAGAATTATTTTTTTTTTTTTTTTTTTTTTGAGTTGGAGTCTCACTCTGTGGTCCAGACTGGAGTGCAGTGGCCGCTCCCGGCCACCGCAGCCTCGGCCTGCTGGGCTCCAGCGATCCTTCCGCCTCAGCCTTCCTAGTAGCCGGAATTACAGGCATGCACCACCACACCCAGCTGATTTTTTGATTTATTGTAGAGATGAGGTCTCACTGCCCAGGCGGGTCTCGAACCCGCGGGCTCAGGCAATTCACTCACCTCAGCCTCCCAAAGGCGCGGGATTACAGGCTGAGCCACCGAGCCCGGCTAGAATTATTTTTAAAGTGCCCCCTCTGCATTCCTTGGAAAGGGTTTGAAAAAGAGTGGTGTTAACTCTTCTGTAAATGTTTAGTAGAATTCACAATGAAGTTATTTGGTGCCTTATTTTTCTTTATTGGGAGATTTTTTTATTACTGACTCAAATTGTTATTATAGGTCTGTTAAGCTTTTCTTTCTCCTTGAGTAGGTTTAGGTAATTTGTATGTTTCAAAAAAATTGTCCATGTCCTAAAAGTTACCTAATTTGTTGGTATATAAATCAAATATTTTCTTTTTTTTTTTTTTTTTTTTTTTTTGAGTTGGAGTCTCACTGTCACCCAGACTGGAGTGCAGTGGCTGCTCCCAGCTACTGCAGCCTTGGCCTGCTGGGTTCTGGCGATCCTTCCACCTCAGCCTTCCAAGTAGCTGGAACTACAGGTGCACGCTACGACGCCTGGCTATTTTTTTTTATTTATTTATTGTAGAGATGAGGTCTCGCCTGCCCAGGAGGGTCTCGAACCCACGGGCTCAGCCAATCCACTCACCTCAGCCTCCCAAAGGCGCGGGATTACAGGCTGAGCCACCGAGCCCAGCCAAATATTTTCTTATACTCCCTTTTATTGTAAGGTTGGTAGCAATGTCCCCACTCTCACTTTTCTGCTAATATTTGTATCTTTTCTTTTCTTTGTCTAAGTTGTCAATTTTGTTGATCTTTCCAAGTAACTAGCTTTCATTGATTTTTCTCTATGTTTTCCTATCCTGTACTGCTCTAATATTTACTATCAGTTTCTTTCTTCAAGCTGTGGGCTTGGTTTGCTTTTCTTTTTCTAGTTCCTTAAGGTGTAAGGTTAGGCTTTGAGAACTTCTTTTTTTACATGTAGACATTTACAGTTATAAACATCCCTTTGAGCGCTTTCACTGCATCTCATAAGGTTTCATTTGCTGTGTTTTAATTTTTACTCATCTCTAAATATTTTAATTTTCCATATAATTTTCCCATTGACCTACTGGTTGTTTTTAAGTGTGTTGTTTAATTTCCACATATTTGTGAATTTCTGTTTTTTTCTCCTGTTGTCAATTCCTAGTATCATTCCATTGTGATTGAAAAAGATACTTTATATGATTTCAATCTTTTAAAATGTATTGATACTTGGTATTTAGGCTAACATATGATCTACCCTGGAGAATGTTCCATAGACACTTGAGAAAAATGTGTATTCTGTTGGAGTTGGGTAGAGTGTTCTGTAAATATCTGTTAAGTACAACTGGTCCATAGTGTTGTTCAAGTCATTGATCTTCTGTTTGGTGGGTCTATCTATTATTGAAAGTGGGATATTAAAGTCTCCTGCTATTATTGTATTGCTGTGTATTTTTACCTTCAATTCTCTCAATGTTTGCTTCATATATTTTGGAGTTATGATATTCAGTGCATATATGTTTATAAATGCTATAGCTTTGCGAATTAACTCTTTTGTGATTACATATTGTAATTTATCTCATGTAACAGTTTCTGAAATATCTTTCTCTTTCAGTTTGTTTTCAACCTGTTGGTGTCTTTGAATCTAGAGTATGTCAGTATGCTTGTAGACACCATATAGTTGAATCATATTTCAAAAATCCATTCTGCCTATCTGTGTTTTGGTTGGAGTGCTTAATCCATTTGCATTTAAAGCAATTACTGATAAGGAGGGACTCATCTCCATCATTTTTATGTTTGCTTTCTATATGCCTTACAGTTTTTGGTTGTCCCTAAATTCTTCCATTAGTACATTATTTTGTGTTTTGTTGATTTTTGTAGTTAAACATTTTGATTCACTTCTTATTTCCTTATGTGAATATCCCATAGATTGTTTTGTGGTTACCATGGGAATTACATTTGACAGTTATAACAATCTGATTTGAAATTAAAACAACTTAATTTCAATGGCATACGAAACTCTTCTACACAGCTCTGCTCCTCCTTTCTGTTATTGATATCAATTTCTTTATACATTGTGTGCCCAGTAACATACATTCCTAATTATTCTTCTGCATTTGTCTTTTAAACAACACAGAAAACAAGAAACAAAGGCATAGTCTCTTTTGGTATACATGGAAAATTGGTTCCAGGATACACCATGTATTCCAAAATTTGTGCATACTCAAGTCTCACAGTCAGCTCTGCTGAAGCCATGTATACAAAAGACCCATCTTCTGTATATGCAGGTTTCACATCCTACAGATGCTATATTTTTTGTCTGTTTGGTTGGGGAAAATCCATGTATAAGTGAACATCTGCAGTTTAAACCTATGTTGTTCAAGGATTGCATAAACAAAATTATAATAGTAACTTATAACTGCCAATATATTTGCCTTTACCAGAGATTTTTATTTCTACATAAAACATTGAGTTACTGTTTAGCTTTCTTTCATTTCAATGTGAAGGACTCTTTTAGCGTTTCTTGCAAGGTCTAGTGGTAATAAACTTTCTCAGTGTTTTTTTATTTTTTATTTTTGGGGGGACGGTGCCTGGAAATGGTTAATTTCTCCCTTATTTTTGAAGGTCAGTTTTGGTGAATACAAAATTCCTAGTTGACAATTATTTATTTATTTTTCTCCTCTGCACTTTCAAAATATGTCTACTGCTTTTTGAGCAAGGTTTCTGATGAGAAATTGGACAATAATCTAATTGAAGATCTCTTATATATGGCAGGTTGCTTCTCTTTTGCTGCTTTAAGATTCTTTGTCTTTTGACATCTTGATTATAATGTGTCTTGGTGTGAATTTCGTTGGGTTTATCGTAGTTTATTGTATTTCTTGGATCTGTAGCTTCATGTCTTGCATAAAATTTGTAAAGTTTTCAGCTATTATTTTGTCAAATATTCTTTCTCCTTATTTATCTCTTCATCTCCTGGGAGTCCCACAAAGTGTGGTTCTCCACTTGATGGTGATAGTGTTGCACAGATACCTCAGGTTCTATTCACTTTTTCGTTTTTTCTTGTTTTTCACAATGATTTCACTAGTCCTATCTTTATTGATTCTTTTGCTTGTGCAAATATGCTTTGGAACCCCATCTAGTACATGCATTTTTTTGTTCCATTTCAGCCATTGTACTTTTAAGCTTCAGAATTTGGGGGAAAGGATTCCTTTTTATAATTTCTATCTACTTACATTCTTATTCTGCTCATACATCTTTTTTCCTGTATTTGTTTCTGTCTTCCATTAGCTCTTTGAGCACCTTTAACACAGTTATTTCAAAATCTTTGTCTATAAGTACTACATCTGCATTTTGTATATTTTGCTAATTTATTTTATTCTTTTGAATGGGCCATAGCTTGTTTCTTTTTGATTTGTTGAAAATTGGACATTTGAATCTTACAATGTGGTAATTCTGGAAATCAGATTCTTCTGTTGCCCCAGGATTTATTTTCTTTTTCCATTCTGAATACTGTTGGATGTCTCTGTGTCAGGGACCAGCCTGAGTTGAAAGCTTAATGTGTTCTCAGATCTTTTCTAAGTCTGTGTCTTTCTCTGGTCATGAATGGTGGCTTTCTAAACTTCCTGGCATATGTGTTCTTTTTTTTAAATGTCTACCCAAACAGAGAAGGTTCTTTAAATCTCCTGGAAGCTACGTCAGGTGGTGGAGATTAGAACAATGACAGCCTCCAATTCTTCACCTCAGTAATCAGAGCAACAGTCTACAGTTAGGACACAGAACTCCAACATTTTGAGGACAAGATCCTTATCACTTACTCTTCCTCCAGCAAACTGCTCCAGAAATACAGGTTACTGTCCCAACAGTTGCCTGCCATGGGATTGGGGTAGGTGAGGGCATGGTAACCACAACCTAACTGATAGCTAAATTTGACACAAATGAACTGTAATTTACCAATCGCATTGCCTCATGGAAGTTGCAAGTGTTCAGATAAACTCTACAATTCCAAAATATTCACTTCAGTTTCTGCCAGTACAATTACTATTCAGGTGGATAGACAAATTACTGGTGCTTCATATTCACCATCTTCCCTCTCTCTGCTGTAAACTTTCTGACAGATTATATATTAACTGATATTTCAGATTTACTCAGGGATGGCTTTGGGGACAATCCCCTTTTCTACTGCCTGATTGCAGAAGGAAACAATCAACAAAAACCACCAGGTAAATCTTTCTTCTATTTAATCTGGAGTATATTTTCTCTATCCTGAAAACAAAGTAGAGTTATATAGCATAAAAAAATGACCATTAAGCAGAAAAGACTATTATGTATACATAAACCTAGTTTTTATTTTTCCAAGAAAATGTGTGGTATGTACCTATGTTTATATGAGAGAGGACCCCCAAAAAACTGAAATTTATTTATAAAAAACTGTATATTTATTCCCACATTTAAATTTCAGTCACCTTCCAAGTACTCTGTTTGATACAATACCCCTATTGAGACACTTTTTCCACTCAGCAAAACAGTTTTTGAACTTGTCAATTTAACCCCAGTAAGAATGGCCATCATTAATAAAACAAACAACAACAGATGCTGGCAAGGACGTGGAGAAAAAGGAACACTTCTACACTGCTGGTGGGAATGCAAACTAGTGCAACCTCTTTGGAAGACAGTGTGGCAATTTCTGAAAGAACTAGAACTTGACTGTCCATATGATGCAGCAATTCCTCTATTGGGAATATACCCGGAGGAACTCAAATCATTCTACAAAAAAGATACCTGCACGCATATGTTTGTTGCAGCTCTACTCACAATAATAAAAACATGGAACCAACCATGCTGCCCATCGAAGCTGGACTGGATAAAAAACATGTGGTGTATACACAATGGAATATTATGCAGTCATAAAGAACGACAAACATATGGACTTCGAAACAACTTGGATGGATTTAGAGTCGATCATACTCAGTGATCTATCACAGAAACAAACAACAGAGTACCATATGTTCTCACTAATAAGGAGACCTTGAACAATTATCATAATACTATAAGAAAGGGATTGGCAGTAGTGGAAAACTGCCAGGGGATGGGGGGTGGGAGAGGCATTTGAAGGAAGCTGCTAGGTGAGGAGGAGCACACCTCATTAATAAGTGTACCTGTATAATCAACATTTGTATACCTAACCCTGAGTTGTACTCCACATCTTTAAAATAAATAAATAAATAAATACATAAATAAATAAATGTAAAAACAAACAAACTTATCTATTTTGTTGCCATTTAGTGCATCTGCTGTTTTTGTTGTTGTTGTTTTGGTTTTGTTTTGTTTTACTTCTTTCACTTCAGCAACACATTTTCCTTTGAGGACTTTTTTCATTCAGGGAAACAATAAAAAAGTCAATCTAGGTGAAATCAGGTAAATAGGGAGGGTGGGGCATGGGACCATGCCGTTTTTGCTCAAAAACTGAACACTCAGTATGGTATGGGTGGGTGTGCTCGTAAATCAGCCATCATGAAATGGGCAAACACTTTGAAAGAATCTCTAAAAAACAAATTCACTAAAGCTAAACGCAGCCTCTCACAATAATGCTAGCTGGTACATTGATGCCAACATGTTCCTAGAATATATAACAGATGGGGGAAGCTTGTACTACAAGGGTCATGCCCTCAAAAAAATAATTCTGTGTTTTCCTGGGTCTCCCTTGTACAGGTGTTAAAAAATTTTGGAAGAAAATATACCACATTGTAAAAATGAAGGCTTATCTCTTAAAGGTTGTATTATAGGGGGATTAAACCTATATTACACATTTCTGTATTGTTATTTTGTCCAGTGAGCATTTATTACTTTATAATAGTTAAAAAAACAGCAAATATATTCCATTTGGGGGTAAAGAACTTTCTAGGATGCAAAACACTAACATGATTGTGTCTTTCCTTCTCTCTTCTCAGGCAAAGTGACTGTCGGATTTGCCATGTACCACTTTACGTATGACCCCTGGGTTGGCAAGTTACTTTACCTAGAGGACTTTTATGTCATACAAGCTTACCAAGGTGAAACTACAATTATAATATTACTCATAATATGCTGAAAATTAAGATGACATATTTTTGAGAGTAGAGATAGGGCTTTATTATAAATACGGTATTTAAGTTAGTTTGTGACTCATTTGTATTTCATGAGCCTGATCACTATCCTAGTTATTCCTGCATGTGACGAAGACTCAATCACAGGTTAGAAAAATATTTTCTTATCAGTTTCCATCAAGGTTTGAATAAACCAAGCTATCATAACTATACTTTTATCTTTTAAAATGCCTTTATATTTTAGGTTAGTTTTCAGTAGAAATGCATAAGAAATATACCTTGCTATAAGACAATAGTGACAGAGACTAATTTCTTCTTCGTTGATCTTTAAAATAAACCCAAACTATTTTCTGTAACCTTTGACACCACATTCCAATTAGGAAAAAGGGATATGAAAAGCATTCATAAGTTGTTTTTCCACAAGCTATTAAGAATATATAACAACCAAATACAGTGTTTTATATTTTATTTCTCTGAAACTAAAGCAAATAACTAGTTAAGCAAAATTTGCAATTTTAATTTTACATTATCTATTTAAAAGGTCTAGGTATTGGAGCTGCAATGCTGAAGATACTAAGTCAGGTACATATTGCAATTAATGTGGATATTCTATTTATTATCCTTTTTTCATCAAATATAATTTAACAGGTCATAAATAATTAAGCTCACCGTTTGAACATAACCCCAAAATATACTTTAAATTTTTATCCAAATCAAACTGGATTTTCAAACCAGATACTCATATAGATTACTACAAAATACATTTAATTACAAATCCCACAACCACACTATACACCTTTATTGCCATCAAGCAAAAGTAAGCATAAGGGAAATTAGTAGCAATTTTATCCATAAGACAGGTCTACAGTATAAATATGAATATAAAAGCAAGATTTTTTGTTGTATTTTGGAAATATATATGAGCACATGTAATTTTAGGTAAAATTTTTTTTATGGAATAAAAATTTTGCAAATCAGTTTGGGGCTTTTAAAGACAGAGGTTTTAAAAATTATAACAGTGGGGCTTTTTTCTTTTCATAGCTATAGAGTAGTCCAAAAGTATTGGAAGTATTTTACTCATATAGTGTCTTACATATAATAGACCCTCAATAAATGTGTTAATAAAGACTATATTTGCCAAATAAAAATAATCTTTGCTTGTTTGTTTTTAAACAGATAGCCCTCAGAAACCAATGTAACTGCATGCACTTTCTAGTCGTCATTTGGAATCAGGCTTCTGTTGAATATTATACTTGTCGAGGGGCTTCAGATCTTTCCTCTGAGGAGGGCTGGCATCTATTCAGATTTAACAGAGAAGAACTCATAGACATGGCAAGGGAAGAATGAAAGAGGCCTTGTAAAAACTTATCCCAACATATCTTCCAACATTTGAATGTCACCTGAGTCTAACAGCAGTTTGACTTCTAATGTTGTACAATACAGCAAGTGATCAATACATCTTTGTTTGAGATCTTTTACTTTAAAATGTATTTTGCAGATCCCATCATCTCTCCATGATCCAAATTAATATACTAATGGCTAGTAACAATGGCGATAATCTAAAAGAGCAGATAATTGAAAAATCACTGGGCTATTTATTTTTACCTACCATATTTTGTCAAATTTAAGATGGTTATTGTTCAAATTTTAACATTTCTGAAATTGGGATAAGTGTATTGATTGGCAACAGTTTTTTTTTTTTTTTCTTAAAGGTATATGATATGTCTTGTTAGATTTGATGACATAAATATATGTTAGAATATAATCAGATCTGAGGTTTAAAAAAATCATTTCAAATACTGGAGATAAATTCTGAAGAGCTTTACTTATTAAAAACTGGCAAATGAACTGCTTCCCCATCTTGAGCTTACACACCACTGCCTCCCTGACGTCATCGCAAAACTACATTACATCTCTGGATATCTGTAGCACCTTGGTTGTACTTATCTTAGGGCAGATACCACATATAACACTGTTTTTTTATGTTTTTTTTCTTTCCTAGTAGAGTATAAGCCCTTTGATAGAATTATAATTATTTCTGTATCCTGTGCTGCAATCATCATGACAGAACTATGCAGCAGGCATTTCTTGGGCATAGAAGCTACATAAAAATGATTCAGCTATACTCACAAGAGGCCTTGCCTGTGAGAAAATAATTATTTAAAAAGTATGCAAGCTGCCATATTCATAAATACCAAGTAAGTTCAAGGGAATCTAGAGGAGAGAACATTTAAATTCTACCTTGGAGAATTGAGAAAGGTTACATTGGAATTGGATTTGAATGACAAGTAGGAAGTTAGAATGCGGAGCAGGATGTGACAGAAGAGCATTCTAAGAGGAGACACATATGCAGAGAAAAAGAGGCAATAAAGAGCAAAGCATGTTCAGGAAACAAATGGTATTTCATAAATACAATATAGCATACATTGGCAGTAGGGTGGGTAAGTAGAGAGAAAATAGGACTCAACAGTAAGCTGGGATCACATATTAAGGGCCTTGCATATCAAACTAGGGAGTTTTGATTTGACTCTGCAGGCAATGATTAGCCACTATAGATTTTAGAAAGATAACTTCATTATAGCTGTGAGAAAGACAACTATGTCATCATAATGGCATAAGGGGTTAGAAGAATAGGGTAGCAAACACTGTATGCTAGTTTAAACTCAACACCTGATCCCAATCCTTTACCCCTTGCCTTCCTTATCACAGGAAAAAAATTGATTTCCCTATCTTCCTTGAGTGCATAGCTATCTGACAAGTTCTGATTGGGATATACTCAGAAGTCTTCTGAGGAGAGTCTAAGAAAGTATTTACTTTTCCAATAAAAGGAGGTGAGAAATATGTGGGACACATTTTGCTCTGCCCCTTTCTTCTTTGAACCTGTATGTGTTCCCTGAAGGTACAGCAGCCACCCTGTAACAATAAGTGACAGACCAGAATGCTACAGCGAACAGAATGAAAAGTAAAGAAGTCTAGGTCCTTGATGGCACCAATGAGCCACTGTCTCAACCCTGTACTGCCTGATCCACGCTTTAAATAGACCCTTATTTATGTAAGCTACTATTAGCTGGTTTACTGTTACTTACAAGTAGAATAAATGAAGTGATAGAGAGCAAGGCTGATAGTGAGCAAATTAGTCAGAAGGCTACTATAATAACCCAGGAAAATGATGACGATTTGAACAAGAGTAATGATAGAATTAGAGAAGGTAGACTATATGTAAGAAATGATAAATAAGGAGAGGAGGGTAAAGACAATTTTGTTTTAGGCATATTGACACTGGGATATCTATGGCATATTCAGTGAATGTAAGTAATAAATTAGAAGTGCAGGTCTACAGAACTAGAGAAATATGAGTGTTGAAAATGTGAATAATAATGACATATATACTGGTGGCTGGAGCCAGTAAAGTCTGTTAAATGAAAATGAAAGAGCATTATAAAATAAGAAAAAAAGGACTAGGGTTGAAACTTGAGCAGCTTTGGCATTTAAGGGATTCAGAGCAAGAGAAGAAGAATGAAAAATAATAAGAGAAGCAGGAATAAAAGAAAGCAAAGGAAGGAGTGAGTTTCAAGGAGGGAGTGGTGAAGAGCCAATGATTACATAAAAATGCAAGCAGGATGTCAAAAGTTAGAGAGGAATTGAAAGTAGGAAAGTAACAAAGGGACAATAATTACTTTTTAAAAAAAGTATGGCAATAACAGGAAGGAGACAGAAAAGACAGCTAGAGGGAATAAGCAGAATTAAGGAAAGCATTTTGCTAATGTTGCTTTAGGACAGAGAAGACCTGAAGCTATTTAGAGATTGAGAAAAAGAAACTATTGAGCAGAGAGGTCAAGGACTGAAGATTAAACAGGATGGAACAGGTTAATGGAAAACATGGGAGGGAATGAAATCAGGAACACAAAGAGAAGCATTAGTCTTAGAAAAGCATGGCTGAAAAGACATAAGTCTTGAAGGTAGATGGAAAAAAGTTGGGAATGATCGTGCCTAATAAGTTATGCATTTATTTTCTTCTATGAAATAGGAGGCACAGTCAATTTGGGCAGTTATAAGGTACCTGAGGAAAATAAAAGGCTTATAATACCTCTTATGGAGAACAGAATAGTAAACCATCTAGGAACCAGAAGAATTGCTAAATGGTACTAGGGGACTCCTGTAGATTATGACCCTCTTAAATAGTCAGAGATGTGATTAGACGTGTAAAAGGAATTGGCATTAATAAACAAAAAGACAAAGCCAAGCCCAGGTGTCATAATATATGGATAATTTATTCCAGCTCTAGGAAGTAAAAAAACTTGGGGGGATATATCTTTCCACAAACCATTCTAATTTAACTGACATTAATTTGGAAAAGCTACAGCAGATATATATGTGTATATACACAAATTGTATACACATACACACAGACATATTTTTATATTTTAATTTCACTGGTGTTTATATATTCATTTTGCTTATTTATTTTAAAATAAATATCCTTAAAAGGCATCAAATGCAACCTAATATTTCAACCTGTGTCTCCTGATCAATCATTTAATATTGCTTTGATTGCTTTCACAGTTTGTATTTTAATCACATTATTGGTCAAAGTGTACATTTAGAGACAAAAGGGAAAAAAATTGATTTAAGTTTTATCCTATGTGTCATTTACCTATAACATGATTTTTTTCATCATTATTTGCAACTTCACATATCTCGTAGTTTTCTATGCAGTCTCTATGTACTCTACTTCAGCTTCTAGTGCTGTACATATCTATGTCTTCTGGGTGGGACTGTCCGTGATCCATGAGCTTGGGGTCAGGCATAAACTGTGTAGCACCTGATAAAGTATTAAAACAACAACAAAAAAAGTCATTTAACAGATTTATTTTTTGGTACTGGGAATACAACAATGGAAAAAAACACACAAATCTCTGCCAGCATAAACATAACATTTGCGTTAGGTGAGACAGACAAGAAGTGAAATATATTTCAAAAGGTAGTAAGTGCTATTAAGAGAAATAAAACAGAGAGGGCAATATGAAGTGATTTGTGTGATTTGTAATTTTAAATATGGTATCCAGGAAAAGCCTTCTAGAAAGGTAACATATGAGCAAAGATCTGAAGGAGGTAAGAGTGTGTATCCTATAGAAACAGGCAGGCAATGCCTTCCAAGATGAGCAGACAGGAAGTATAATGGACCTTAGTCATGTCTGAGGAACCAATATGGATGGAACACAGCAGACAAGATGTAGTATATGGAGTGGGAAGGTAGTGAGAGAGTGATAGGAAATGTGATCAGAAAAACAGCAGAAGGATTGGTCACAGTAGGCCATGGTAGATTTTGGCTTTTAAGTGAGATGAGAAGCTACTGGACAGCTTGGAATAGAGTAGTGACATGATGCTATGTTTAAAAAGATCATTCTTGGCTATGGAGATAAGAGAAAACAGGGAAACAAAGGTGGAAGTGGGGAGACAAGTTAGAAAGTGGTTATGGAACTCCAGAAGAGATGCTGAGGGCTTTGATTAGAGTGGTAGCAGTGGAGGTGGTGAAAGGGATCACATTCTAGATAATTTTGAAGGTAGAAAGGACAAGATTTCCTATATGGATTGACCATGTCTTGTGAGAGAGACTCCTTAACTTGAGAAACCTGAAGAATGGAACTGACATTTACTGTGATAGAGGAGAATGTGGGAGAAGCAGGTCTGGGGGAAAAACAAAGTGTTCAGTTTTAGATATGTTAAATTTGAATTGCTGAGTTGTGGGAAGATGATGGTGGAGTCAGTCAGACTGTGTGAGTCCCTGTGTGAGTGAATGGATGAACTTGCGTGGATGTCTGTGTGTAAGTGGGTGTGTGAATGGCTGAGTGGGGACTCAGGAACAAGTGGCCAGGGATCTCCTGGTGAAGTGTCTGGTGCCGCAGCTGTTCTACGTGGACCCTAACACTTCCTAGGGCACAGAAACCGAGTGCCAGTTTCTAAAATCAACAAAGCCCTTCCCAGGAAGAAGCTGCCACAGCAACTGCCATTGCTAGACTCTGACCCACCACCACAGTGCCAGGTCAGACACTGGCAGCAAGAGTCACAGAGGAAGTGCATCGAGGGAGCCAGAGAGGTAGAGTCCCAAAGAAGCAGTGGGGAGTGGCCACTGAACCTGGGCTCTCTACTGCTGCCTCAAGTGACAAATTAGTCTGCAAGGTCCCACCACCAGGATCTGAGATCTGGAGACTGTGGGATTTGCTGAAAAGGCAGCTATCCTTCCTGACCCCATGTTCAGCAGGAACAACAGTCTCCAGAGGAACTGAGCAGCCAGTCTAAAGCCTGGGCAGAGAAATGCTCTATGGCAGCCTCCATGGAACAGCAGACCTGAATCTTAAGACCAGATGGTTATCTCTGCATTGCTTTTGGGATACTCTCCATGAAGCCAGAGATGATTGCCCCCAGTGCATAAGCCCTGGTGGGTAAAGGTGGATGTAGAGCCCCACACAATCCTCCCCCTGTCCTTAGCCAGCTGATTGCTGACAGACATATACAGTGGATCTGACCAAGAAGGAAGCTGGTGAGTGCCTAGCTGACTCCCCCTTACCCCTAGTAATGAGCAAAAGAGACCAGACACTCCATTCCCCTGCTGCAAACAGGATGCCATGGGAGCTGTGATCATGCTGGGTGAGGAAGGAAGGGGATGAGAGCTCGGGAGATGCTGAGTCAAGTAATCTGCAACCCCCCCACACACACAGGGAAATACTAGCTATCAATTGCAGGTGGGGTGGAGGGTGAAGATTCTAACATCTCAAGTTTCAACAGGTAAGAGGCAACATGCAGTAGCAGACTTACAGTTGCAAAACCTACCAAAAGAGGGAGCCCTCCCCCTAAAAAAGAGATACACTAAAGCTGAGAAATCACTGCCACTAGATTTTTTGTTGTTTTTTTGTTCTTTTTGTCTTGTGTGTTTGCTTTGTTTGTTTTCTATTTTTCTCTTCCTTGTGTTATCTCTTCTTTCTCTGCTTTTTCTCTTTCTTCTTCTTCTTTCCCTTTTTTCTCTCCTTCCTTCTCTTTGCTCTCTTATACTCTATCTTGGACTCAGGTGCTACATAAGCATATCCATTGAAAGGTCATATTGTGTGGAGAAGGAGAGTGAGTCCCAGCTGCCCATTCAACAGATAGCAAGCATTGTGAGCCATCAGTATGTCTGAATCCTTGCAGACCCTCAACCACCCCTTAGTAAATCCTCAAAATCATAAAGAGATAGCATAATGCCCTACCCTCAGCCCTATTTCATAACTGAACAAGCCTGGAAGCCTGGTTCAGGGAAGGACAAAAGGTAGTGCAAATATCAGAAGTGATTACTTCTCCTTTTCCCACTGAGCAATGGAATTAAAGAGAAAGATAAGAGAATTGGTATAAATTAAGAAAAAACAAAACAAAAAATTACTGGTAACCTTCAGAGCCCCAACAAAGAGAGAGTGCCTAAAAGAACGCTACTGTAGCACAAACAATAGCTATCTTTAAGAACAACTGTACTCAGAAGGTACTTACAGATATGAGAGAATTGTTGGGTAGAATGAGTAAACAAAATCAAGCTATACAAGGGCTAAGTGAACTTGCTAAGTGAAATTGCAACAAAGTTGGACAGACCCAAGAAAAGCATATATCAAAATGACGGAAATAAAGAATTGCATCCAAGGAATAAATAACAAACTGACAAGCAGAAGTAGCAGAACTGACCAAGCAGAAGAAAGAATTTCACAGCTGGAAGACCAAAATATGGAGTTAATCCAATCGGCTCCAAATATAGAAGAGGAAAAAAAACCTTAAAACTTAAGAAACTTTCCAAGAGATGTGCGATTTTATCAAGAAGCTAGACCTAGGTCTGATTGGTATACATGAAGTAGAAAGAGAAACAGAAAAGAGCTTGGAACAAACATTCCATGAGGTCATTCAAAAAACTTTCTTCATCTGGCCAGAGACACGATTATACAAGCACAAGAGATTCAGAGAACCCCTGCAAAACATCTTATAAGAAGACCAATCAATAGAAAGATAGTAATTCACCTATACAAAGGAGGTATAAAAGAAAAAATCCTAAGGCAGCAAGGGAAAAAATTAAGACTACCTACTGGGAAAGACCAATCAGAATTGCTCCAGACTTATCTGCAGAAATACTACAGGTTGGAAGAGATTGGACCCCAATCTTCAAAATTCTCAAAGATAAACAATTTCAACCAATAATTTCCTAACCAGCTAAGTTAAGTTTCATCAACACTGGAGAATTAAAATCTGTCCCAGATATCCAATCTCTAAGAGAATATGCTTCCTTCAAACCAGCTTTACAGTAGACGCTTAGAAAGGTGTTCTGCACAGAAGAAAAAAGAAACAGAAGAAAGACCATATGCTTCACAAGATCACAAAGAAGTAACGATGCAAAGCACACCTGCAAAAATTAAAACACATGCATATATTAATGCAAAAGCTAAAAGAAAACAAAACAGCCTTACAAGAGCCTTATGACAGTAACAAACTCTTACATCTCAATAATCAGCCTAAACATGAATTGACTAAATGCACCATTGAAAAGACACAGAATGGCAAACTGGATAAAGGAAAATCACCCAACAATATGCTGCCTCTAGGAAATACACCTCATGACAAAGAATACCCACAGACTTAAAGTAGAGGATGGAGAATAAACTTTCAGGTGAACAGAAAACAAAAAAAGGCAGGAGTTGCAACTTTAATATCAAACAAAACAACCTTCAAGTTATCAAAAATTTTAAAAGATACAGAAGGATACCACATAATGATAAAAGGCTTAATCCATCAACAAGAAATATCCATCCTAAGCATATATGCATCCAACACAGAAGCACCAGCTTTTATAAAGCAACTACAAAGTAAACTAAAAAATGACATTGACTTTAACACTATCATAGTTGGACACTTAAATACTCACCAATAACACTGGATAGATCATAGAGACCAAAAAAAAAAAAAAAAAATCAATAAGGAGACCTGGAACCTCAACTTCATGCTTGGTCAAATGAACTTAATAGATACCTACAGAACACCAACCAACAAACACAGAATATGCATTCTACTCATCACCACATGGAACATACTCCAAGATCTATCCCATCTTTGGCCATAAATCAAGCATAAGCAAATTTTACAAAATTGAAATGCTGCCATGAACCTTCTCAGACCACAGTGTAATATAAATAAATATCACCACCAATAATTACCCCCAAAAGACACAAATACATGGAACAAACAACAAGATGCTAAACAACTTCTGGATCAACATAGAAATTAAAACAGAAACTAAAAGATTCTTGGAAGCAAATGAAAACAAAGAGGCATCCTACCAAAATCTCTGGGATGCCATGGAAACAGTACTAAGAGGAGAATTATAACTCTACACACACACATCAAGAAAATATATCATGAGTAAACTGCCTAACAGCACTTAAAGGAGCTGGAAAGACAAGACCACCAAAACCTTAGTTTCAGCAGCAGAAGAATACAGATCACCATAGTAAAAGCTCAAATACAGAGAAGACAAAAATATCATAGAAAACATCAATGAAACAAAAAGTTGGTTCTTTGAAAGGATAAACAACATCAGTGGACCCTTAGCAAGACTGACCAAGAGAAAGAGAAAAGGCTCAATTATGCATAATCAGAAATGCAAAAGATCAAGTCACAACTGACTGTGAAGAAATACGAAAGATTATCAGAGAGTATTATGCACACCTGTATGGAAACAAGCTTGAAAGCTTAAATAAAATGGAGGACTTTCAAATATCACACAACTTCCAAGGCTGAAACAAGAAGAAACTGAGA